CTGCTCTATCCCTCTGTGAGAAGGCTGTGAGGCTGCTGAGACATGAAATAACCACTCAAATCCTCTCCCTATTTTTTTATCTTCTCTTCCCAATTTATCACTCTAAATTAAAAGTGCTGATGGGCTGCATTTGGCAGAATAATAGGCAAGCAACATAGGTTGCAATCTAAATATTTGATTCTGCCATCATTTTATTGCTGTTGAATGAAGATGTGGGTGAATTCCAGCAGGGAATTTACAATCTACCTCTGTGTTAGTAATTACTGATTTTATTTCTAGGTATCCTACAGCTGAGTACTGTAGTTTCACATTGATATAAGGTTTCCATCTTTCCTTGAGAGCTAATTGTGTAACATGCAAACAAGAAACCAGCCACAAAAACATGGAAATTCCCAGGTCTTCATTTCCTCTCTATTGTTCGAAATTCTGTTGAAAAGGTGGGGTTGGGTGGACACAGCTGGGACAGGATCAAGGGGTTTTGAAGTCAACACACAAATTAAAAAAAGGTCAGTCAGCAAGACCTTGATTCTGAGTGTCACAGTACAAAGTGTTGGGGGAAGAGGATGCACAAATTTCAGTCTGTCTGTTTACTGTGTTTATGCAAAAGCCCTCTGCCACACACCAGCAGAACTGATCAGGGTGAGGGCATTTCATGCCAGTGAGCAAAGATGGCCATGCTGAAGGCAGAGCCATTGCCCTCATCCACTTCTTCAGAAAGGCTTTGACATAATAGGTTTTAAAAGGAGGGAAATTTCTGTCGGTCCAGACCAAGCAAATGCTTTGCAGTGCTTGCTGTCTATGCCTCACAGGTAAGAATCCTTCCTTCAGTATGCAGCACTGTCAGCACAACCAAAATGGCAAGAAGATACCATGAGAAGTGCAGCAAAATGGCATGAAATTCTTTTTTCGTTCCTCAGGATATTTCTTCCCACTGAATCTATCTACCACTTTTAAAATGACATTATGATTTCAATGAGTTCTTTCTTGCCTTTGGGGTTATTCTGGGTAGAAAGGCAGGTAAGATTTAAAGAGGAGGTCCCTGATGTTGAAAAAAGGAAGGTTTTCAAATGTATAATCCACTCGAGCATCCTGGTGCAGCCGAAGGGATTCACCAGGTCTCCCTCCTAATGCTGTGTCAAGGAGAGCATCAAGCTCAGAAAGGTGACCCACCCCAGAGGCACTTTAGGCAGACTTCTGCAAATAGAGACTAGCTTGGACACATAGTGTGACACACAGCCAAAAAGTAGCTGGTCCCTGCAGAGCCCTAGTGCTGTCCCAGATAAAAACCCAGGCCAGGTTCCTCCCCGAGCGCCTGCTCTGCTCCGCTGCCACCCCCCACGGCTCCAGCAGAAGTGCTGCTCTCTGAGGCCAGCTTTGTGTTGTGCTTGGCACGCAATAAGGCCCTGAAAATAATCTCTTGTATTAGCTGAAACCCTCTCATGCCAACTTCGTGATCCCTCTGACATATTTGCTGCCAGCTTTTGGTGTCAGCGTGTTGGCCCGTGTCTCAAAGCAGTTACATTTTTAATGCTGCACAATGCGTACCTTCTCTCCGTACATCCCTCTCCTGTGGATGAGCAGGACTTGGGGAATTTGGCTGGATCATTGTTTTCCCCAGTAAAGGCTGGGGACTGATGGAGAAAATGATCTGTGGTCCCCCACAGGGTGTACCAAAATGGCATGTGCTAAGCCCCATTCTGATTTCTAAAATGCTGGATAACTGCCAGCGTCCCTGCTCCTCCAGCCCCATACAAAGTCTTTGGGACTGTCAGTTCTCCAAGGCCTTATTTGAACAATTCACTGAAGAACTGGAAGGGATAAGGTGATCTAAAACCACAGTGAAATTCTCCAAAAAACCCAGTAAGATTATTGCTGGATTTTACCATATTAATAAATAACTCCAGTCCGCAGAAAAATAGTATCAAAGCATTGTAGAAAATTGAACAGCCATCCTTATAAAAAATAACCTTGTAATCACAATCAGCTAAGCACATCTTGAAGTAAAACATGAGTAGGTGTAGGAAATCGAATGTTTTAATGTCCTCCTGTAACCTTCTTCTCTCAGGGGCCAATTTTCACTTCACCTTTAGAGCAGCCAGGCATTTTGCCTAGTTGGGTTTAGCTGGGCATTAACAGAAGCCCAGGCAGGAATCCAGTGTGGACCAGGAAAAAAAGGCCCTTTAGTTGTTGAAAAGTAGAAACTGGTTCCAATCCTGTGATGGAGAACGATTGCAAGGCAGTTGGTGAGATCAGTCTTGCTTTGTCTTGCAGAGCTTTAGTGACCACTGTGCTGTGCCAGGCAGTCTGGGACCTGAGGTATAGAGACAATTGCTGAAAGAACAAGTTTTGTAATAACAAGACCAAAACTCAAAGCAACAAAGGGATAAAACATCACAATGGAGAAAAACAGAAGGTGGCCACAGCTATGGCACGAAGTCATGAGGAGCATCAGTGACCACACAGCATTGGACATGCACCCACAGAGCAATCCAAGCCAGTCATCAGATGGAAAATGAAACAGCACCTGTGTTTTTCTTTAGCTCAGACTGCCTTCTTGTATTTGAGTCTATCACTGAGTATTTTGCTGCAATGGATTAAATATCTCAGGTGGCATTTCACTGATACAAAAAAAAAAACAGTGAAAGGTGTAGAGTGCTGGAAAAATTCTCCTTACTCAGCATCTCAGTGGTCCTTCACAGAACTGATATTTTTCTACCAAATACCATTCAGTCTCCTAAATTAAGAGATCAATCTCAATTTTGTTCCCAGATGGGGAAATTTTGGTATTTCCATTTTGTCTACACGCACGAAATAAAAGCAAATGGTAATTTATCTTTTGCGGACAAAATGAGTTTGGGTTCTTTCACTTTTCTTTTGGCATTCCTTCCTGTTGACAGCATGATTTGCACAAAATTACATTCCGTTGATAAAAATGTGCTGAAATGTCTTTCAGTTTCATTGACTGAATGATTTGCAGCAAGAGGTTTGACAAAATGCACGTTGTCGACGGAGTGAAATGGGGCGGGTGGAGGAAGGAATACATTTCAGACATATGGAGCGAGCAGTTACACACTCACTTGGTTTGTTAAAACCTCTGCTCAGAGTCTATTAAAAGAATTGTCTGGGATTCAGATAAGACAATAGTTACTTTGGAAAAATCTCATTTGCACAGATACATCTGGCAGTGGGGAGAGGCATAAAGAAATTTAACGGGTGCAGAATTTGACCAGAGATCATTGCAAGTGCTGTTCTGCTTCTTTAGATGTCTTTCTATCCAAATAAATTTCCTCCAAAGAGTTTACAGATTTCCTCATGCAGCTTTTAAGGGAATACTTGTACTGGAAATGAATGAGACAGGGAAAAGAAGTATGTTAAAATTTATGAAAACATCTGTTGGAAGCTCTGAGAAAGATGCTTTTGTTTTAATCATCTAAGCAAGACTGATGGATTTTATCAGAGTTAAGTACCAAAGAGTCCCAAATGTGCTCTTTATCCCAAAGGCGAAGCACTTAAGCATATGCCTAATTTTAAGCATGTGAATAATGGCCTCGTTGACTCCAATGGAAAACTCAAGTGCTACAAACTGAGTATGTTGGATTCTAAGATACTTTGGATTAGTGTTAAAATCGTGACCAAATTGTGCCAAAAAATAATCTTGAGAGTAACCTTACAAAAGTATTGCTGTTAGGACAAAGTGTTTTTGGTAAAATAAGAAGTCACATTAGGTATATGGATCTTATTTTGATATGGTCTAATACATTAGGATAGAAAGACAGTTACTGATAAAACAAGATAAATATTCATTTATTCAAGGAGATTGACTTGATAAGCTTTAAGTGCAGTAACACAGAGAGCATCAGCCTGGTGGGTAAGCAAAAATCTTGTTTGCAGGGATATTGCTTCACTTTATCCAAACTTGTTTGTTACACAATGTATTCACTGCTTTAAGTCAATTCTGCAAAGAACTTTAGCACCTTTTTTTTTTTTCTTAGCTGTTTTCTCACAGCAGCATCCTTTTGTTGAGCACCAAGTCTGGCTGTCAGTCAGAGAGGAGGAGGAAGAGCAAGAGTCAGATCTGTGCTTTCTTTCACAAGTGGTTCTGTAGGTGTGGTAATGAGCTGTGGCTTCTGCTGGGAAATTTGGGTTGTGGATTAAGTTGTAGACGGTGTTAAGTTTCCATCTCAATGTCCAGCTCATTTTTCTGTAAAGGTTGCTATGGGTATCAGAATGTGGTGCCAAAATACCTTAAGCCACTATTCCAATTATTCTTATTTCAGGATGTAAATGCCTTGATTCCACCCCCACACTAAAAATCCCACTGGCAGAAGCTGGATGAGGGGAATAAACAATCGTTTTTCATGTGCACATACTCAGTTCATTTCACTCTGCTGTCAAAATCGATTGCATTTTTCTGTTCAGACATCAAATGTACCAAACCAAAGGAAAAACCTGTGAAAAATGCTGCTTTCACGGGGACAAGCTCCTTGTGGTTGGATGAGCTGAGGCACTGCAGGAGCTGAGGAGCAAAGTGGGCTGTAGTTGATAGGTTGGAGGAAGAGAGAATACAGCATTCACCTCATATTAGAGTAGACTTTGGGTTACTCTGATGTTTGTGGTCCTAAAAGAGCTGATTTTCAGGAGTTGCAGTCTAACATAATGCTTAACCTGGAAGCTGGGGAATGAGCTGAGGCAGGACCAGTCATGCAAGGTAAAAGCATCTTCCTGGCACCTATCAACTCTTGTGTTCTGGTGAGGAGGCCAATGCTCATGGTCTTTTTCAGACAGGCATTAGCCAGGAGACCAAATTTATCATGTTTGACTCATTCTAAACACTTGCACCTGGTGGCTATTGATTCCTAATTTTGGAAAGCCTTAATATACATTGCACATGGCCCTTTTGAATGGAAATGCTGTTTAATGGCATTTAACAGTGAAAGAATCACAACTGGAAAACAAAATGTTTTACAGAAATTTCAGAAATTGCTTTTTTTTTTTTTTGGCCATGAAAAAGCTTCTTCTATTTTGCTTGAAGGATTTAATCATTCTTTTAGTTCTTAAGCAGTAATTGTCATCCAACTAACCAAGAGTTGGAAGTGCAAACTTGTCTTCAAACCTAGCAGGGGATGTTGGTTTATGTTATGATGTGTGCACATCTTTTCACTGAAAATTTGCATGTGTTTGGGGCTGGCCCTACATGTTGGGCAGAATGTGGGAGTCTTCTCAGGAAAACAAGAGTCCAGGCAGATTTCTGTCCATGAACTCAAGTGAAAGTCAGCTGGAGGGAAGATACAACACAGATAATATTGTCAAATACATTATCTAGAAAGAAGTTTGCATGGGGGAAAAAAAGATACAAAAAAAGCTGGATTTTTCAAAGCCATGGAAAGGAATGGTAATAGTAGAACTGAAATGAAATGTTAGAGAGTACAAGCTATAAGCTGCCAAAAAGAGTCCATCAAAACAAAATTTACACTTGAATTTAAAACCAGGCAGATCTTTCTGGAAGAGGGAGAATGCTGAAGTACAGTAATCAAGCACAGAGCTGGGGTTTACCTAAGCATAGGAAAGGGTAGAGTCTGTCAGAGCATTTTCTAATTCTGTTTCTATTTTCTGGGAGTAGAGCAGATGACAAATCTGTTAGTTCAGAGTGTTGACACAATACACTTTTATCACTTTTTGTCAACAGAACATAATTGTGTTCAGATTACTCCATCACAGGGGAATAGCCATAAGATCATGCTGTCCATAAAAATAAATGTCATGTTCCATTTCTGGGAAAACAAGAGGGAAATAGGAAAAGCAGTGCAAGAAGAGAAAAACCTTGAACAAACTCTGTTCTTTGGACAGAGTTTCAGTTACACAGACACTGTGATAGAGCAGTTGTTCATCCAAACCTGACACCCTCAGGGCTCTGTGTTAGATGCCAAGCTCCCGTGCTTCTAATTTGTTTCCCTCCCTGCCACCCCATCCCACCAAACCCAAACACTTCAGTGCTCTCTTCCAGAAGTCTTCTGTAACTGATGCCAACTGTGGATCATGGGCAGCGGGTCATCACCAGGGATTACAGAATTCCACTGAGGAGGGAGAGCAGTGCTCTGCAGGGCTTGGAGGTAGTCAGAGGAGTGGAGCAGCGAGGCTGAGATGACAGGGAAGTCTCCAGTTTGAGTCACCAGCCTGACTGCCTTTGTTATTGGGCTTCATGGGTCATGTTCCCAAGAATCTGAAGTACAACCCCTTTGGGGACATGGCAGTTGTGGGCTATCAGCTTCTCTCTCCCAGGCTGGATGCTCTCTGACTCTGAGAGGGGAGGCATTAAATTGCATCTTGCTCAGTTCCCCCACAAGATCATTCCACCTCAGGCACTCATTTCCTAGACAAAATGCAAACTCAGCTGCAGGAACATGTCACATTTTTCAAGATTAAGTAAAGCAAGAACTAGAATTTTTAATAAAGTTGTTGGAGATATTCAGTTGGCTTCATTCTAACAGAAATAAAATTCTGCCCATCCATCATCTTTCCTTGTGACACTCTGGAGACAGCTGTAAATGGAAATCTGGGGGCTGAAGGAGTTTCAGGCAGGTACCAATGTTTGTGCACAGCAGACAAAGGGGATTAGTCAGTGTGGGGAGGAACCAGCGTCACTTTGGTCTCCCTCATGGTCCAGCACAGGTGCAGTCCCTCCCGATTTCCTGTAGTAATTACAGTATGAATCACAGCAATGAATTCAGGTTTTAAAATAGAACCATATTCTTAAGGGGAAGAAACAAACAGAAAAACAAAGCTCGTTGTCAAAATCCGAATTCCATCTCCCTTATCCCAAATTTTATATTCTCGTAAAGTCGTGTCACGTCTCACACCTTCCCATTAGTTTTTGACGTGCTGCTTTACCAACTGAGAGACCCAGAGGGGATGGGGGATGTGGGAGTCTTAAAAAAGAAATAATTAATCTCCACTGAGAGTAACATGCTGCCACATATCACTCAGCATTGCAGCAATAGCCTGATGGAGTCAGGAGAGGTGACTGAGAAGGAAACAGGAACTAGCTTTTGGTGTTTGATGATGAAAACTGAGATATTTAAAATCTCCAGTGCCCATTTACTGTGCAGTCTGCTCAGACACATTCAGTGTGATTACAGCACCCAGACAGAAGAGTGTCATCTTCAGTGCTCTTGGTGCCACTTTTATGGCAATTTAGAAAATGATCACATAGAGATGGAAACACTGATTAGTTAACACAGAGAGCCTTCATGTATTCTACTCGTGCAAGGCTTTGAACTTCTGGAAGCTGTCGTACTGAGGAAATGTCTCTCCTGTAGGTAGCTATGATTATATTGCTGTCATTATTTACTGACACTGTGTGTAAGCTTTGTGCATGAGACAGGGTGTCACCAGTCTAGAGGGGCAGCTACATCTTAGATGCAGAGAAAATGCTCATTAAAGCAAGAGGCTGTTGGGAGAAAGCATCAGCCATCATCCTCTTATTGCTGTCACCTTTGGAAAAGAGGGGCTGATACCACACCTAAGCCTGAAACCCTACAAGATTGCAGTTTTGGTTTGAGCTTTCACTTTGTAGCCTAAAAAAACCCACCTTTTAGGCTGAGATGGAGGGTGAGAACTAACCCTGGTAGCTTCCCACAGATTAATTGTGAGCAGGTACACAAACAGACTGTCCTTTCTATATTACCCAGCCCAACTCTCCTCCCTGACCCTGCCCATATCTCTTTTCCAGTAGCATCAGGTGGTGGTGAAGCCTGGTCTTCTGTCCCAGTTTTCAGCTCACCCTGGTACACTGAAGCTGTTTAGAAAGGGAATTATTTTTTTTACTTGCACAACTGGAACAAGGTGGGAGGAGTACAAAACCCATCCAAAAGCTCCAAAACCGGAATAATGAGCAAATGTTAGAGACATGGAACAGGATGCATTGCTCTAAATGGTTTGCAGGAGGCACACAGCCACAGAAGAGAACACAGGAGGCTGCAACTCACTGCTTCTAGTACATTCTCTAACTGATTACGTCCCTTGTCCAGTCCTAATATCTGAGCACACTCCCATTCAGTGAGACACCCAACCTTGGAGTTTCTCTCTGTGATTTGCAGCCAGATTAATTTTTTATTTGTTTCCTCATAATTTCCATTGGCTGCAAAGCAAATGGTCTGATTTCTCCTTGGTTTGGGTCCTGAGATTTTTATAGGAAAGAATGAGAAAATGGCCATGTGCATAGCTAGATACCCCGAAGCCTGCCACCAGTGGTGAGGATTCAGTGAGCAAGTAGCTGGGAATTAAACTGATGTACCAAAGAGAGAAGGGGATAGATAAAGTGTCATCTGGTCACAGCTGTTCAGCTGCTCAGATGAAATGCAGAGGGTTTCTCAGGTGGAGCAGGCAGGAGGGAGACACCAAAACAAGTTTTCATCTTTGCTTCTGAAGTGTGTAAACGAGATCACAGTGGAGTAGCAGCAACAGATGTTCACTCCAACCACTATGTCAACATCCAAAAAATCAGTATGACAGGGAGGCATCACCCCCTGAAGTATCATATTTGACGAAGTGGCCCTGGAGCAGGTGGGGAGCTTCAGATAATTGTTTTTGCTCCATGACGGGTGAGCAGTGCTCAGCTCTCAGGAGATGCATTCAGGACTGGCTGCCATCTGATCCTGATGAATTGTGGCTGAGTCTTAGATGTAGCTCTCAAACGGACACGGGACTGCACTGTTGTTAGGCAGATTGTGGTAGTTCAACTGAGAGACCACAGAAAGCATGTGAAGTTTTGAGAGTACAGTGGCATAACTGGTATATATGGAAGAAAAAAAAGTAACATTCCCCATCTCTGACTTTGCTACTTAAAAGGGGGAAAATTTCCTTTTAATTCATGAAACAAACATCCCTGACTTGCCATTAAGTTGAGCTTACTGGAAATTTTTAAAGAAAATTCTAACTCGAAGTTGCTGAGCCCAATGGCTTATTTTTGCATAGTCACTGGTGCCAAGTGCCAAAATACAGCACTTATAAAAAAAATTAGAGGCTTTGAAAATAACACATCAGCCTCTCTCCAATTTCACAGTCACTGTTGTCCTTCTCACCTAATTTCTCTCTTTATTAAAATAGACTGATTAGTGGTGCCTACTTGGTATGAAGCACAGCTTCTCTTTGAAGCCACCAGTACAAAAAAAAAGGTAAATGGGGAGAGAGAAGGAACTTATAAATGATTCTGCTGGACACCTTGGCTAGTAATACAAATGTCAACACAGCCTCAATTCAGTGAGACACTTACGTGTGTGCTTGCATTTAAGCATGTGTTTAAGCCTGTTCTGATTCAGCCTCCTTCCAGGGACACACCTCACTTGTGGGACATATATGACTTAAGAATATGTGTTTCAGTGCTTTGGTACCAGACCAATAAATGCCCTTCACAAGCAGCTGACTAAATGCAGTTGTTTCTCAGGTAAACGATGTTCACAGCTGCACAGTTTGGTTGCTGTGCTATCAGCCCTGCTGTGCTATCAGCCCTGCTGATCTTCAGGTGCAGCATTGATTGAAGGACACTGGGGGACAGAAGGAGTCTCTGATAATGTGTCTCTGCATCTGTGTACCCAGACTTCTCTTTGTGAGCCCTGGCAAACTTGCTTTGATATCTAAGAAGAAGATCATCAAATCTGCCAGTTTGTGAGTTACGGATGGGAATGGAGTGTTCTGCCATGATGGGCTCCAGTGCTGGCCAAGAATGCTGCGGTGAGGGAGAGAGAAACATGAGCTAAACTTGTCAAACAAAGGCGTGAACATCTTCAGATGAGCTCCGGCATTTCATAACCACCTTTCCAAAGAAGATGTCAAGGTTCACCTTGGGTTTTCCAGGTGTTTATGACTTTGGTGCTTTGATACTTGGAAGAGAACATAAGACCTGCCTTTGATGCAGCAAAGTGAACTGATGTTCTGGTTCCATTCCTGCGAATTCAAGGGGAAACTTGGAAAATTATGGAGCTGACTGGAATCCTACAGTTTTGTGAATGACATTTCTTTCTTTGTAGAAGTCATCTCAAGCTGTGCTTTTCACATCTTTTTTCCTGTACAGTGACAGGACAGGACAGTGAGAGGAGCAGACTCAGCACTGAGGGTGCAGAGGGCCTTGCTGGGCAGCTGTCAGTGGTCCCACTGCTTGTTAAACACAACAGTGCAGTGTGTGGATGCCCAGTAAATGAGTGCAGTTCATCACAGCCTTTAGAAAGCTAATTGGCTACTAAGCTATTGAAGGGTCAAATACATTAGTGTCTAGCCCCACTCAGCTCTTTGAACAGTAAGTGTTTAGGAGCAAGTCTGATTAGCAGAGTTCTTCACTGTCTTCCACTCCTGATGTACACTTATGAGTGACCTTTTGCTGTGGTGTGGGTGTGAAATGGATAAAGACACAATGCCTAGAAATAGCTTGCAGACAGAGTTAAAGGCTGTGCTCAATACAAAGTGCATGATGCTTTTAAAGTAAGTAATTAGGGCTGGCTTTGTGGGTCTGCATTTTACTTAGAGTTTGAAGCAGATGAAAAGCATCAGATTTGATTTTCAGCCCTTCTTTCAGACATAGAGAAACTTCAATACAGGAATACAGATGCATCTATATTCAGGCTTGTTCAGCCTGTAAATGGCTGAAAATCCATTAGGATTTTTTTTACAGGATTTATTTTTTACAGATCAATCCTGAAGTTTCGTAAATGTCCCCTAAATTAACAGGGCAGACCCCAATAGCAACACTAGGTGAAATGATTTTCTTGTGTGTTTTCTGAAGAGATGGCAGAACATCAGAATTGGTTCCAGAAATGCTGGTTATTGTTTTGATTTTGAAAACAATTTCTTGTGGCCTGGCTGCAAATGCATGAGCTGCTGTCTTGAACATTCCCCAGAACTCAGATTTATTATTTAAATACAAGCTAAGAGCGGGAAACTCTTAAAATTCCCCAATTCTCCCTCTAAAAATAAAGATCCATTAGTTCAACTGTGATAAATAATTCTTAATTGTTCCCTCAGGTGAAATTGGACTTCTATCTCCTTGAGTTTCCTTCTTGGCTTTCTCTGACTGTGGGTGCAGCATTTTTGTCTTGTTCTTCCAGTGACATTCAAGTGTTAAAGCCGTGTTTTGTGAAGCCATATGAAGGGCAATGCTGGTTCTGATGTAATTCACATAGTAGCCTGGAATGACCCCCATCCACTCATGGTGACTCCTGTTTGTTTTGGCCAGTGCCTAGAGCTCCATTTTCCCCCCTCTATCTGGAAGATATCTTGCATATGCTCCCTGTTTATGATCATACTCGCCTCTGATGTTTCCTTTTTAGCATTGTTATCCATCTTCTGGATTAGACACAAACCCAAGGTCCTGAATGTTCT